TTCCTTCCTTCCTTCCTTCCTTCCTTCCTTCCTTCCTTCCTTCCTTCCTTCCTTCCTTCCTTCCTTCCTTCCTTCTGTCCTGGGGTCCAGGGAGGTGGTCTTCCCAAAGGACGGTCCCTCGATGCCTCCAACGACCTGCTCTCCGCTTCCCAGCACCGCCTCAGGGGGGCCGAGGCCCCAAAGGTACCTTGCGTGGGGCTCAGGTTGCTCTAGGTGGTCATTCCACAGGCAAAGCGAGCGGGGCTGGGAGTCGGCTTTGGGAAGCGGTTGTCGAAGCTCCAGCGTCCTGGAAGGGCTCCTGACCGGCCCTGAGTTCCGGTTCCGACCAAGAGATGGGGCATCTCTCTGTGGGTGCAGAAGTATGGGGAACTCGCTGCCTTTGGGGCAGAGGACCAGGCTGCGTGGTGCAGTGGGGCTTGGGGACGGACCTGCTCTTCCTCCCTGTCCCTCCCTCCAAGCCATTTTCCTTTTTCCTTTCCATAGTTTGGAAGGACCCAGGAGGGAGGCAGGGAAGGGCAGAAGAGGGGTGCAGGGGGTACTTTGTTCCACCTCGAATTTCTGGAACCCCTTTCCTTGGGGGAGTCCGAGTGCGTGCGTGAAGGCGAGGGGTGGGCTTTGGTGGGCTGCGGAACGGGGCAAGCCTTGCGCCGGGGTGCGCGAGCTTTGCCCGTGCGCCCGCTGCAACTGGCTCCCCTCTTCTGTCTCAGCACCGGCTGCTCTACCGAGGGGTTTCCCAGCTTCCCGAAGGCACTCTCTACTGGGAACTGCCCAGGTCTTTCCTGGGGAACCAGGTAATCGACTGGCGCGGCTGTGCTCTGGCCCCGCAACGCTTGCTCTTCGTCCTCGGTCGTCTTGAACGACGGCCGAACGAAGGCCCGGAAGGCGCAGAGCTGTCAGCCGGGCCAGGAGCAGACACAGCCTGGCGCCGCCTCCCGTAACTTCTGCCTGCGTGGGAACCGCTAAAGATAATAATTGCACTTAGTAATATTGCGGGGCCGCTCTGTCGTCTTGGCTTTAGATAAGCGAGAGCTCTCGAGTTGATTTCCGGAGCTTTTACTTGAAGGAGGTTTCATCCAGTCATGGTTTACGCCTTTGTTTAGGTTTAGATTGGGAAAATATAAATCTATATTCTGCAGGAGCTCTGAGGAAGCTTAACTGACCAGTCCTTTTGCCCTCGGCGTGGGCATTCCTGTAACTTCACCCGCGCATCTGGAGGAAAAGCTTGCTTGCTAACCAGATAGACGCAAATCCCGTCTTGGGTCTTCTGTTGTGCCTGCTCAATTTATTGTCTGTTGTGAGGAAAGCGCCCTGGTCCAGAGAGAGGCGGTGAAGCTCAGGGTGACCCTCGCCTGGCCTACCTCGCTGGGCCACAGAGAGGATAAACTACCTGCTGGGTCCAAGCAGGTGGTGGTGGCGGAGGTCGCCTTGAGCTGCCAGGACAGGAATCTTCCCCAGGGCAAACGAAGGGGTGCTGGCGGCCGAAATGCCACGCCTCGAAGCCCGCTTCCTCTCGTTCCCGGCCGGGAGATCGAGGCGGCCGGTCCAGAAGCCCACCTGGCGTGGGGAGTGAATGAGTGAGTGAGCCGAGGCTTTGCGTCTCGTCCTTACAGGTGGGCTCCTACGGGGGACGCCTCCGCTACACCCTTTCCTACGCGGCTGGAAGGAGAAGCACGCCCCTGCCCGAGGCCGACGTGCAGATTACCGTAAGCCGGGGGGGCTCAGAAGCGCTGGCCCGGGGGGCAGGTGGGAGCTCTGCTCCAGGACTCCCCGTTCGTCTTTATGCTGCTTGCAGCCTGAGTGTGGGGTGCCTGGAGAGGGGTTGGGGGCAGTCGGTTTGTGGCCCAGACAGAGGCGAGAGGTGGGAAAGAGCTGGGGGGGCGCTTTCCACAAGCCTCCCCCTCCCCATCTTGGGAGAAGGGATTGGAAGAGGATGAGGCGGCGGAGAGGGCAGGGCGGATGCGGTGTGCTGCTTGGGGGCCTGCCCGGCTGCTGTGGAAGGCCCTGCCTGGCATTTTCTCTCCTTCAGGGCAATGACATCACCCTGGTGGCCTACCTGTCCGAGCTGCGACCCCACGAACGCAAGAGTTTCGAGGTGGTCTTCCGGGAGGTGAGGCTTGGGGAGTGTTGCCTGACAGCGGGGAGGGGGGCAGGCATTCCTGCACCCTACGCAGCTGCCCTCAGCGCGAGGGTCGAGGGCACCGGGTGGAGTCCCAGCTGGGCAGCCTCTTTCGCCTCTACGGCCGAGTCGTAGAAGCAGCCCAGCGGTCGCTGCCGGTCCTGCGCCCGGCCTCTGCCCTGCCCCTTCCTGGGTTCAGCCTGCCTCCTTTGCCCCCCTTGCTCCCCAGCAATTCTGGAAGCGGCCAGACGGGCAGCCGGCCACCCGGGAGCACTTGATGATGGCCCTCGCAGACCTGGACGAGATCCTAATCCGCGCCACGCACTCCACAGACATGTTTTCGACAGGCATCGCTGGCGTCAGCATGGAGACCGCGGTGCCCACCTACACCAGTCTGCCCCGGGCTTTGGAAGTGGAAGAGTGCCGCTGCCCCCCCGGATACCAGGGCCTCTCTTGCCAGGTGAGCTGAGCCGCTGGGCCTGGTGGGGCTTGGAGGCCTCGTTGAGGGCACTGACGGCTGGCTTCCTCCGTTCTCTCCTGCAGGACTGCGCTGCCGGCTACACCCGCACCGGTGGCGGGCTGTACCTGGGCCACTGCACGCTGTGTGAGTGCAACGGGCACTCGGAGTCCTGCCACCCAGAGACCGGCACTTGCTCGGTGAGCCCCCTTCTTGGCTGGTGCCCATTCTCTGCCACTCCGCAAGACACGTGGGCAAAGAGGGATGAGCAGGAATGTGTGACTTGTCATGGCGGGCGGCGGGGGTTGTTGGAGGGAGGGACCCTTTGTGGTCCTACCAGGAGGAGATCAGAGGGCCTGACTGGGATACTCCACGCGCCTGGCAAGGGCTCAGCCCCTGAGTTCTCACTGAGAAACAGAAAAGTTGGCTTCCGTGGCACGACCAGTGCTCTAAATCTGGCACTGAATCTAGCAGCCGAGAGAAGAATACACGGGGCGGGTGAGGCAACTGGGAGTCGGAGGAATATTTTTGCAGTGATGAAACTGCCAGTTTTGGATGTCCTGCATCCATTTATTCTGTTCTTAATTTGGTGAAACGGAGCTTTTTTTAATGGACATTTTATTTTGGAAAAAGTCGCAGTGGAAACTTATGGGTAGGTTGGCTTCCGCTGTGCCCTTTTCAAGTCTCTTTTTGCTCTGGGTTTCTGTTCCCCCTCCCCACAATGACGGTCCTTCCTTCCTTCCTTCCTTCCTTCCTTCCTTCCTTCCTTCCTTCCTTCCTTCCTTACCACTGCCTGCACCAGGCAGCTGGGGAGTTCTGCGAACGGTGTGCCCCCGGCTACTATGGAGATGCTACCGCTGGGACCCCCGAGGACTGCCAGCCGTGCGCTTGCCCACTGCCAGATCCTGAGAACCAGTAAGCCGTCTGCTCTCTTGGGGAGGGACGGGCAGGAATCTCTCCCAGCCGGACCTCAGGACGCGCGCTCTTTCTTTTCGGCAGATTCTCACGGACGTGCGAGAGCCTGGAGGGAGGCGGCTATCGCTGCACCGCCTGTGAACCCGGTTACACCGGCCAGTACTGTGAACAGTGAGTGCGTCTCTCCCTGGAAGGGGGCGGCAGTTCTCCGGACCCTGCGGGCGAGAGCGCAGGGCCTCCCTCACTCCCAACGGGTCTCTTCTTTTCTCCCTAGATGTGCGACCGGTTATACGGGGAACCCCAACATCCGCGGACAGAAGTGCGTTCCTCTGGGTGAGTGAGAATGCCGCAGGCCCCGGCTTGGTAGCTGGGAATTATCACTGTACGAAAGGGGGGAGCTGAAGGCCCTGTCTTTCGCAGTCAGGAGGTGGGGAGCTTAGCTGCCCCCTCGCCTCGGACTCTCACCCTTCCTGCCCCTTCTCAGGACCTCCGGACAAGCCCCGCCTCGTCATCCAAGTCCACCCCCCCCGGACCACTGTCTCTCAGGGAAGCGAAGTGACGCTGCGTTGCCACGTCAGTGGGGAGCCGCCCCATTACTTCTACTGGTCCCGGGAAGACGGGCGCCCGGTGCCAAGTACCGCCCAGCGCAGGCAGCAAGGTGAGTCTGTGCCATTCCCCAGCTGGGCAGATTGCAAAGGCGGGGGGAGGCCCCAAAGAGGGGGGCAGTTGCGTGCATGCCCAGGGGTGGATGGGGAGAGGGACCTCGCCAAGGGAGAGTTTTATTTCTGCAGAAGGCGGTCAAAGGAAGGGGTGCGGGGTCCCATTCTTGTCCAGGGAGCCTCAGTCGAGGCTGCAGAATATACCTGAAGCGGATTGTGGCTTCTTTCGCTTAGCCTGGCATCATCGCCAGCACTCTCAGCTACTCTCCTGGGTCTGAGATGGCCTTCCTAGAGAGGCCGGGGTTCAGCTGGGATCTTCTGCAGGGGAAGGAGCAGCTCTGTGCCCTTGCCCCACAAGGAAACCAAGGTTCTAGTTCTCAGGTTGCTGACCGAGAGTGGAAAAGGGGGCTGCCTTCCTGTTAAGTCAGGCCAAGGATGCCAATGGGCAGAGCCTGTTCTGTGGGCAAAGCAGCCGCGTGGTTCCTGACCTTGTCCTTCCTGAATCCCCTGCAGGGTCGGAGCTCCACTTCACCAGCGTCCAGCCCTCGGAAGCCGGCGTCTACATCTGCACCTGCCGAAACCCGCAGTTCAGCAACTCCAGCCGCGCCGAAGTTATCGTTACAGGTGAGGCTGAGGCTTCCTGCTGCCAACCGACCATGTGGGCTGCTGGGCGCGGGAGGTCTGTGAGAGGATCCCCACGGAGCTGGCAAGGGCTCGCGCCACCTTTCCCCGGTGAGAGAGAGCCAGGCCCGCTCCAGCTGGACGAGGAGGGACCCTCACTGGCTTCTCTCTGCCAGCACAGAAGGCCCCAGCAAGCCCATCAGCGTGACGGTGGAAGAGCAGAAGGTGCAAAACGTCAAGCCGGGCAGCGACGTCACCTTCATCTGCACGGCCAGGAGCAAGGTGAGTCTTTGGGATGAGAGAGAGAGGTGGGCGGGGGGGGGACAGCTTTTCCACGCGGAAGCTGTCCTGCCTTTGGCTGGTCAGTTGGCATTAGCAGTCCCAAATCGCAGACCGGAGAAGAGCTGTGCAGGGTCGGGTCCAAGTGGGCCTGTCGAGACTGGCACGACCACAGGTTCACCCAGGGGAAGCCCGGGCACCACGGCCCTCTTCTGTGGCCGCCTCTCAGCGTCAGGGGCTCCCCCGGACGTCCAGTCTATCAGCTGCAGACCGGCCTCCCCTTCAGGAACCTGGCAGGACGGGTGCCCTAAATTCCAGCAGTTTGCGTGCAGCGACCCTCCCCCTTGCGCTCCCCTTCCACCTTCTGGTTCTTCCGCAGTCTCCTGCTTACACGCTGGTGTGGACACGGCAGAACAACGGGAAGCTGCCCGTCCGGGCCATGGACTTCAACGGCATCCTGACGATCCGCAACGTGCAGCCGGAGGACGCCGGCATCTACATCTGCACGGGCTCCAACATGTTTGACATGGACGAGGGGACGGCCACCCTCTACGTGCAAGGTGGGGCTTGGCTCTTCCGCTGTCTCGCGCTGCCAGGGAGGGAGCCTCAAGCTCCACGCGGCAGCCCAGACCTCCCTTAGTGATGCGTTGCCCAGGCTGCCCGCAGGACTGGGCACTTCCTAGCAGGCGCGGACCAAGAAATGGCTCT